TTGAAGGACTTCTGAACCAGCTGGACGAGACAATCTTTCTGGCGCGGCACATCATTCACGCTTGGACCAGTGCCTGACGGAGGATCCTTGCGAGGACTGGGCGGCCGTGCGTAACAACCATGCCCACACTTTGGCGGTTTTGACCAACCAAAATCGGCCCGCCGAGTTCACTTCCACCTATCAAGCAGCCCTGGATTTCCATCGTAATAAGCTGAATGAGCAAAGAGCCCTGACTGCTATTTACCTTGGAATTGCGGCCGTCACCGGCAAGCGACAGTCGCGGCGCACTACGGATGAGGACTTTTACAGGAGGCTGCAGCGCCGATCACGCTCCGGCCTATGCCCAGACGCTGCGACTTGGATGAGATGCTTCCGATCGGCTGGAGAGAACTTGTACTTCAAACGTCCACTGATCTGCCTGATGCTTTTGTAGTCAATGTGTGCCAAGCGCTGTTTGTACAGGACGCTGCGGCTGCACATCCCTATGCTATCTCGTGGCTCGAGTTAGTTTTCTTGTTTCATGTCTTGGGTGGGATCGATTATCCAGTTCCTGGGCCTCATGGAGGTTGGATTTCGTCGACCACAGGAGCCTTTCTTCCAGCCCCACCTATGGTGGCCGGAAGACTTTCCTCTGTACGGCGCACTTTGCGCCGGGCCCTGCAACGACTGCAACTCCAATGTTTGTTTAGTGGTGATATTGATTTGAGTGAGTTTGGAATCCCTTTTCCTTTGGATGGTTTGATCACTGGGGTTGATGGGCAGGCCTTTCTCCGGGCTTCAGGCCTCTTTGTACAGGGGCGCAGGGTGACCTTCTTTGACCCGAACACGAACCTTGCTGGCTGCACTGCGTCCGCCGTGCACCAGTGACAGAGCCCGAGTGTGTTAAACTTATCGTGTTTGGGACGCGATGGAGCCCGATTTCCATTGTTCACGCTTGTAACAGTAGCACACTGGTGCGCGAAGGGACATGTTAGCTGAGTCGCTGAGCAGCCGCACCGCTGTAGCCGTGCGGCTCGAGCGAGTTGAGAAATTAGTTTGCTTTTCGACAGCGGCTACATCGCCGAGCCCGCCGCGGCGGCTCGGCTCTCCGGTGGCAGCGTCCACACGGGGCCCACCAAGGCCAGCAGGGACAGGGCTCCGAAGTGTTGCCCCCCAAGGTGTGGTCGGATGCCGTCGCGAAGTACAACGCAGTGTGCTCGGGAGGAGTGCCCAAAGAGTTTCCGGTTAAGAAACTGGTCGGTTCTGAGACTATCTTAGCAAGGTTCCATTGGGAGCATGTGACCAGCAAGCCTTACTTTCCACTCGAACTTGGAGAAATCATTTCGAAGAGGAGTTTCGCGGCCACGGAAGGCGTCCATTACCTAGCTACCCGCCGCAAAACCACCAGGTTGGAGTTTGATGGGGATGCTCAGCTCCTTGGGGAACTTCGCTCTTTGTGGTCAGTGGTCGACGGACTGGATGCGATCAGATGGTGTCACATTCTCCGCACAATGTGTCGAAAAAAACATCGAACCGAGCTTGTCCTTATCGCCGGTGCACAAAGAACTGTAATCCTTCCACTGGCTCCCACTTTCGCCCAACTCCAAAAAACAGCTGCCACAGCTCAGCACATGCAGATTCGACAGCTGTTTTCTCGCGAAGTTAAGTTGCAGACTGTTCATGTGAGCTGAAACTTCGCCAGGTTCAGCCGCCCTCATTCGGCGACGTTTTGTCGTGACAGGCTCTGGCCCTTTGGCACAACTTGCAGCGCCCATTGTCGGACGACAGTACTGAACCACGGGATCCGGGCTACGTGCTACAGGATCTTGAGATTTGAGAATATAGCCTGTCTAACCGCAACCGCGCACGAGCCTTGAGCAGCATCCCACAATGCGCGCAGCTCAGAAAGCGGGTGGCCAAAACCAGGCGGCCAGTTTCCTTGCGCGCTTGCGCGGAAGATCAGAAACTTGGAGGACGGCAGAGTCGCCCCTGTCGGGCTGAAGAGGCTTACAGCTCCAGTCCCATTGTTCTAGGACCTGCACTGGTCTGTGGAGGCCGTGTGGGGGAGAGGATGCAAACGGTAATGTGCCAGCACATGGATTTTCATGAAATGGTGCTGGGGCCGCAGTGCTTCAAAAACAACCTGTTCATCAGCATCCTTTGTTTGAGGCCGAATTTGCTGCCAAGTCGGGCCGGCGCAATGGCCTTTACTGTTGTACGAAGTGCATGCTGAGCTTGCGTGGAGGAGTGCCTGGGAGCCAAACCACAGACCATGCAGCGGGCCTGAGCCATCTGCAGCGCGGGCTCAAAACACAATCCGCCCGCAGAGGCGCGGAACAGGTGTTGAATTGCCGAGGCCGGCACACGGATGTAGGCCTGAAAGAAATCGGCTTCTTTGGCCTGGGCTCGAGAACCATTCATCCTGCACCATTGCCGCGACCAAATGTCCAAGAAAATTTGCTCAACCACCTCATCAACCGCGGCATGAAATGCAGGGCAGGTTTGATTGCAGGCCGGATCTCGGCAGATTTGTACCGCAGGGAGTTGCTGCAACAAGTAGCGGTTGGGAGCCTCAGTCAGCTTCTCCCAGGAAAAAACCGTCTCATCCTTGTAGAGACACAACTTGCACACAACGGTGTCCAGGCGTTCAATCTCGGAGATGTTTGCCGAGGCGAGTTGGACACTATCATCTCCCAACTGAACAAGTGTGCCTGTGACGAGCACGGCCTGAGTGAAGATTGCAGGATATCTGACCGGGGCTAGGCGGGTGTTGCCAGCCTGCTCTTCGGGGATTTCCGCCGTTGTAACCAAGACCAAAGGGTCAACGCTGAGGTTACGGCTGTGAAGAAGGCGGCCGCTCTAGCCGGGCAAGGTGCGCCACTCAGGGGCATGGCTGAGTCTTTGGTGACTGGCAGGCTGCATTGGTCAGAGGCTGCTGTTTTTCTCTGGACTTGCAGCTGGTACACAGGGCCATGAGGTGCAAAGGCCAGTCTGGCGAATTTTGGCAGAGTCCGACCTTGAAGTAAAACCTTGCGCTTGAAGCCTGAAGGCAGGAGCGCGGTTTCGGCACACATGAGCTGCCGCACAGTTACCGGGCCAGATGCAGCCGTTGTTCGAAGTCCATCGGCGTCGCGGAGTGAAAGGGTACCTCCCGACAACATCGAGGACAGCAGCCAATGGTCCTGGCATTGCTGAAGGAGATAACTCTTGAAGCGGTTGAGTTCAGTGACCGGGTCGGCCGGCGGACGGCCGAAGCACGGGGCCACCGTTTGAAGATGTGGCATAGACCCAAACAGCTTGCAGCGGTGCAGTATGTTTGCCAACAAGGCACAAGGCCGCACAAGGTGGCACCGGGTACAGAAGGCAGGGTGGCAATGAGTTGAGAAAACCAGTTCGCTGGGGATGCAAAAGCGCATGCCTGGCTGGGCCTGAGACGGCACACCGATCTCTTTCAAGCCCTGTGCCTTAAGGCTCTCAATGCTGATTGGTCTGCTTCGACAGCCGCACGGGCATGGTCTTAAGGCGTTGCTCTAGCTATGTAACGCCACAGGTGCCTGGCCAGAAACAACCAGGGTGCGCGACTCGTGCCCTAGATTTGGGTCTTTGAACATCTCCTCTTCCTGGACACTCCACTTCAAGTCTGCCTCTTCAATTGCAGGCCACACCGGCCATTCAGGAATGATGTCCTGCACTAGCAGCGGAGGCGACTGTGCGGGCCAGTGCAGGAGATGCAGGACCGGCAAGCCTGTGGGAAGTAAAACCGCACACCAACGCACACGCGATGAGGCCCACTAATCTGCAAGGTCGAGATCAATCTGGTGCAATTGCAGGTCTGCACTAACTGCAAAGTCCCGGAGCAGGCGCTGAAACCGTGGCTGGTGTGCAAGGTCAACGGGACCGTCAAGGATCGGACAGCTGGCTTGGGCAGTCCAAGTTAGTTGCAGCACATGACCCAACAGAACCAACCTAGGGTTTTTCGGGCGAGGACCTAAACCGAACCTAGGGGGCCCTTGGGCAGGAAGGCTGGCACAAAGCATGCTGCGTAGGTCGGGCGAGACCTGGCGTATTTGGATGCGGGTGTGGCGATCAGCCACGTCCCTTTGCACTACGGTGGGGAAGTTTCCCCCTAGTACTTTGTGTGTTGTGGTCTGACACCACCAAACTGCAGCAGCCTACTTGTCGGAGACCCAGGGTGATGCTTCCAATGCCTGCGCAAACTTCCTTAGCAGAACTGTACGATTCTGCGCTGAGCAGAGGCCTTAGGATGATCACTATCTCCTCCTGGAGTTGCACTGCAAGTGGTGCACCTCACCTTGAAGGCCCTGGTACAAGACCCCATACAAAGTGTGGACGCGGTCAACCTCGAAAGTCCCTGCACATCTGCATTGTTCTCTGTTCCAAGTAGCAACCATATGCGCCCCTGCATGTCCAAAGACTGAACATACACCACAATGTCGAGACTAGAGCCAGCCATAAGACCCGAAAGGACTGGTTCGCCCATCATGGCAGAACTGCACCCTCGAGGTTTGGTAGCAATCAGCTCCACTACTGGAAAGCCTCGAGCCCAGAGCTCAAACACGATAAGTTTAAAAGCCACCTCAACCATGCGCCCTCGTGCATCCCAGCTGCGCTTCTCGGGGGTGGAAGCAGTGCAATAAACCTCGCATCCAGCCTGAGAGACGCAGGGCAATACAGTACAGTACAAGGCAATGCTCTCGCGGAATCTGAAAGCAAGGCACGAAGGTTCTCGATGCGCAAATTCAAAGGCAGAGGACTAACTTGTCTTGCAAGTCTGTGCAGCCCGACGGCTCTCTTGCACAGGTGGAGGGCAGATAGCCCAACACCTCCTGCCGCACTGTGGATCAGCACCTCAGCAGTTCTCAAGCAGAGTTGCGAAGGTCGGGCCTCGGACTCAACCCTACAGGTGCTGAACATTGCGCCGACAAAATCGCTGGCTGAAGACAGTGATATCAATTGCTGAACAAACAAACTCAAAACTGTTACCCCCCCCCTTGCTCCGGACTCGATTCTACAGCACACGCGAACAATCATCAAGGGCTCCACACAATTTGATTGTACTGTGCACTCACCTCAGTCCCCGACACGCATTCCCTTTCGAATGCGGGCCAACCAGTGCAGAGCGTACCATGCTGTGGCATATACGCATGTTCCTGGAAGGGATGCACCAACCAGGCACTGAGCTCACACACACAAACACAAGGCTCATTCCGTGGTTCCAACGTCAACCTGAATTTTCCAAGATCGTGCGAGGTCCTCGTTCATTCGTCAAACCACGCATTCTGAGTGTCAGCAAGGTACAGCAGCCTTACGGCCCTCTGCCCGCCTGCAACAGCCTCTTCGGGGCTCATGCCCGTTGGTGCAGTGGAAACCCAGCGAGCATCCGTGGTGCAGAAAGAGCCTGTGAAAATCTGTCAAGAGCAGTGTAAACACGTACTGGCAACGCACACATGCCGCGGGAACGGAAGCGCCTTACCCACGTTGAGTCGAGTGGCCCATTCCGTCAGGTGGCACAGCAATCACGGTATCTCCAACAGCAACGTTTTTGACGCCTTCGCCTCGGGACTCCACTAGTCTCACATGCTCTCGGGGCTGGGCAACTGGATGCAAGTCAAGCCCGTGTATTGGTTGGACCTGACTTGCAGTTTACACCGTCATAACACAGGCTTAGCAAGAGTTCGGCTTCCTCTGGAATGACGTTGGATCCAGCCCCAGGCACCGACCGCTGCAATCTTGCCGTAACACTCGCCGCCGATGCCCAGAGACTGGCCTGCTTGGGATCCAGGCGTGTATCTGACAGAAGCTTGGCCTGCCTGTGCTATGATCCCACTAACGCAACGGACATCAAGCCAGGTGAATCCCTTGAAGGTTGCAAAAAAGGTCAGTCGGCTGCTACACTGTTGCGCCGCACTTCCAACTCACACTGGACTAGGAGAGAGGTCAATACCACCAAGCTGTTCGGAGTTTGCCTGCCACAACCGCAGAGATGGCGCCTTTGGCGACCAAAACGTCCCCTCGGCTCAAGCAAGTGAGGCACTTGCTGCACTGCCGAGTCCTCACTAGTTTGATCTCAACTCGGCACTGGTGGGAAGCTTGTCCTGATGATCAGTTAGAAGCAAATTGCATTTAGAAGCACAACCTCGCGGCGACCAAGCGACGGAAGTTCAAGGCCCAAAGGTCTGCCTGAATTTCGACTTGCCCCGGCCCGGGGGCCGTGCGATTGCTGAGGCGGCACCTCGTCACCGGTGGCCATGGAGAGGCAAAACAAACACAGGTCTGCAACTATCTGGGACACGCGCTGGGCCCCCTTGCCGCCCTTGCTGGGGTCCGTCTCCACGGCGTAAGGCTCTTGCCTCCAGGGAACTCTACTCTGCTTTGAGGGGCGGGGTGCTCTGCCGCTCTTGGCCTGGAAGCCACGATCGCTGGGGGCACAGAGGCTGCCCTGCTACTGCGCATGGAAAGCTGAGCGCCTCCACCTGTCGCGGATCGCGGGCATGATTGAGAAAAGGGGGGCTTCAGCTGCTCCCCATCCCACTGCAGCGCCGCACCCACGATCCCAGACTTGGCCGCCGACCGTCCTCGTCCTCTGCTCTAAGGACAACCTGCGCAAGAGTCGGAGCTGCGGTTCTCAACTGGCAACGGGGCACAGAGCAGAGCAACAGAACAGAACATCAGAACATCCCACGGCAGAAGCCATCGAGACAAAGACCACTGATCAATTCGACCAAACGGCCTTTACTCCCTGCAGCGTCAAGAACCTGTAAGCGAGCAAAAGGACAGAAGAGCTTGCGGCTCCAGGCCGCCTCTGAGTCCATTCCAAGCCCCGCTGAGGCATCACGGAGGTCCTCAGCCGAGCCGACGATTGCACTGGCGCCAACCTGTGCTTCAGCAGAACGACTTTGTCGCTAAGACCTTACAGGGCTTAAGGTTGAATTTCAAGATGGGTAGAGTATTGCCCGCCCACGTATCACAGATCGCAGGTATGCCTGGAAGTGGCAGTGTGTTCGTGTATTTCTCATGGTCCGCGTGTTGCGTAGACTTAGACATGCGAGACCCCATCCATTGTTTGGCGATTTGACCGAACCTCCAAGATCAAGTTACACAACTCCCGGATTATTGAAAAGTTTAAGCGCCCGAGGTCAACATGATGCCCGTGGTGAGCTCACAAATAAACTCTGGGATGAGCCGGTTTCTGTGCCGGCAAAACACCTCGACGGCTGCCTCTGCTGCCGCCTCTGCAAAGCTGGTGCCTCGCGAGTCCAACGGCTTGGAAGCTCTGAGGCCAGGCCGCCAGGCCTACAATGCTTTGGACTCCTGCTCGTCACAAGCGGGATCCAAAGAATGCGTCACCTGCCTTGCTCCCTGATCGACAGCAGCCAGCATCGTTCTTTGGCTGCGATGCGCTGAACGAAGCTGCGGCACTCTCGCCTGATGCATCTGGAGAGTGACCAAGCGCCGTGAAACGTGACGTCTGTTTTTGCTGAAGAAGTGCAGCAAAGCTGCACATCTTCGAGCGTCTTCGCCTTGACTGCGACAGCCACAGCATCGTAAGAGTCCTCCAGCTTGTCCTGCCATCGCGACAGTCCACAGTGCACGGCCTCAACAATCTTCAAACCTTAAGAAGCGAAATGATGCGGTCGAGTTCGTAGTCAAGCCCGAGTCACGGTGCAGTTCGGCAGCTTCAACTGCTTGGCTTCTTCGCCAACCTGCAGTGTCGCTGAGCAAGCCAGCAATTTGCCGTGCTGACTGCATCCAAAGCGGCCAGGAGCCAGCGGCCGCGAGGTACGCGGGCAACGTCCTGCGGAGTCCGACGACTCTTGGCACAATGAGCCGTGCAGGTTCGCGAAATGAAACGCAGTGACCCCTGTGACCCCATTACTCCACGAACCTTCCATTTCGGTCGGCTGCTGGTGAGGTGAGCGCCGGCATGCATGGACCTGGGCCAGCGCAAAATGAGCTGGCCGGACAGTCTCTCATGCGCTCGATGTACTCCGTATGCGGCCGGCGTATACAGTGCGAGCTTCCAGCAGTTGGCTCGATCCCCATACTTGACAGTCGTTCCACACAGTGAAGAAAACATCGATGCTGCACCCAAGTCACGAGAGCTTGAGCCCTGCAATGTCGCAAGCGAGGTCTGAGCCATCAAAAAGCTGTACCTTGGCATCACCGGCTGACCGTGGATATTTGTAATCCCATCCCCATCCGAATCTCAAGGCGACTCGGAGTGCTGGCAGAGTCGGGTAGCTCGGCCCTCTTTGCCAGCGTTGTGAAGCTGAAACTTAAAATTTCTGGAAAAACACACCGCAGAGACTTCAAAGTGTACTCACATCGCCACGAGTGACAGATCAAATGAAGGGTCAATCTGAATGAGGCAGTAGATGTGCATGACCAGCAAAATTTCACGTGGTAGTCGTGGAGCAGCAGAAATTTCACACGATTTTAGAGGCGAGCCTTCAGAACCCATTACTTCCAGTGTCGCGGATCGGTCACCCTAAACTCGAATTTCGACTCCACCGGCAAGGAAAAGAGGTGAGTTCAGAAAATGTCCAAGCAAAGCCTTTTCTCATGGCATCGCGGCAACAACGCCTGAGCTCCTGGCGTCAATGTCGTGGGATCCTCAGCAGATGCGAACTTGTTGCCGACAGCGTGAGCTGGGTTCACAGCATAAGGAAGGCTGAATGACAAAGCGAGCCCGGCCTCCCCAGTGAGCCCTGGAGGATGTTAGCTTGGAGCCCACCTCGTGCAGAGACGGCGAGGGCAAAGGCTTGCAACTTTGGCTTCGCTGCGTTCCCATCTCTGCTCCAGAGCAGGAAGCTCTCTTCGGCGCCTTGGCCACGACACGGTCGATGGCCTGCGGTGCACCTGCAGACTGCTTGCACGGTGAAGCCGAAACTCCAAGGTGCTCGGCATCTGTGTACGCAGGCGAGACTTCAAAAACGACAGACTCGTGGCTTAAGCACGCAGGGATTCAGCGTTATATAGCTGCAACTCGGCCCAAGAGAGCAGGGGTATGTTTGGGGAAGGGGTTGTCAGGTGAGTGAGCCCGAGCACAACAGCAGACACGCACTGCCAGCGCAGCGTTTGTTTCCGCTGGGGTGGCTGTGCTTTGGTTTCAAAACAGCTCTGGGCCAAGCATCTGCACACGGGCAATATGAGGAGTTGCGGAGACATGACTTCGCTGACAGTAATTAAACGACAGCTAACCTGTGACGAACTACATGTACAGTGCAAGATCGCGCGGCTTTTGAATCCAAAAGAATCCTTGTCGGAGCCTAAGGGAGGGCGGCTTATGACTTCGCCAGGAACAGACTTCGAATCGAAAGTGCCGCGTAAGCCTCGAAAGCCCAAAGGATGCAGCAGCGAAGCGAGCTGCAGAGCAACATCCAGGTCACCCGGGTCCAGCGCAAAGCCTGAATGGACGCGGTGGCTGCCAATGAGGATAAGCAAAAGGTTGCTCTTCAAACAAAGGGCTTGCAAGCACTGAAGTATGACAGCAGGCAGCCAGGACTTGTTCGTAGATTGCATTTACAACCACTCACAATAGAGGGTTGCGGCAAGGTGGCCACGCGAAGCCCCACTGAGCTTGTTGAATGCATCCTTGCCCGACACCGTGAAGCAACTCCCTGCAGTCCAGCTTGCTGTTCAGGGTGCAGCTTTACACGATTCCCCCGACGGAAACAGCGGCCCTCATGAGCGGTTCTGCCTCGTGGCACACATCAAGCAGACCTTTGAAGAAGACGAAGAGGAGGAGATCTCTCTTTCTTTCTTTCTTTCTGCCGGGCGTAGGGGTCCGTTTGCGGGACCCTCAGGCCATTGGCCCGCCCGACCACCCCTTTTACTATTGAGTGGTCGGCTTTGGGGTCTCTTTCTGCAGGGCGTAGGGGTCGATCAAGAGATCTCTCTCTCTCTCTATCTCTGGCTATGCCGGCTAGGTCGCTCTGCTAGCTCCCGCTCCCGGCACTTTTCCTGTTTCTGTCTGCGGGCTTGAAGATTGCAGCACCCCGGTTCTGATCTGCCTGAAACGCCGCCCCTTCTTTCCATCTATTTTCAGCCGGCTCGACACGCATGAGCCTTGAAAATCTGGGCCGTAGAAGAAGCCAGCGGCCGCAAATTTGCCCTCCAGGCACGCTTGAAGACGGTTTGTGGGACTCTCTTAAGGATCACAAGTGGATGCTGTGCGTAGCTTTGAGCGACACAATCGATGAATCGATGGAGCCTTTGTGTGAGTCCCCTTGCAAAGGGCAGCCAACTAGCCGAGGGGCATAGATGTCGTCAACGGGCTCGGTCTTGCTCGCCTCTTGGAAAAGAATAGATATGAGCTTCAGTATGCAAGAGAAGAGAGGGAGCAGCAATCGCACGACAAGTGCCAAGGCTTTCGAAATCTTTCGAACCATCTCACGCAATCGCGAATTCGCGGCCTCTGGCAGGCGATTCTGGAAAGCTTCCAGGGCCGCAGAAAGAAAGCGGCACTGGCAGTGCAACGTCTCCTCGGATGGGTCTTAGTCCCGGAGGAGCATTTTCCACACTGTGGTGAAACAAAGAGGAGTTGCGGTTCACAGGTCCTACAACAATGCCTCGCCACCCCCACCGGGCCGACGAACATGTTCAACTTTCAACCCACGCACCAAAGCCCAATACATGTGCGTTGCAAATCAAGTCGCCCCCTTTTCAACCTCAACCTTCCGAAATGCTGTCAAAGATTCCGGCTGATCCTCTCCGCCCAGAGCGCGGCTGAAGAAACGGAGCTGCCCTGCGCCACGGATCCAATCGTGTATTCCGGGCTGACTTGCAACTAGCTGAAGGGAAGGCTACGCCAACCCCAATTTGGCACAACTTCCACAGGCCACGTGTGCATGAAAAAGTTTTGCAACAGCGGGAACGGTGTTGGCACGCAAGGTGGGCGGGATTGGGAAGGATGCTCGCTTTGGATGCCGATGTCAAGCCGCAGCAATTTCGACCCCTGACGACATAGAAACTTCACACGGAAGGATGCTCGCTTTGTATGCCGATGTCAAGCCGCAGAAATCTCGACCCCTGACGACATAGAAACTTCACACAACATGCCACTCCGAGGACTCAAGCACACACCGCTAAAACCAGCCTTCTGTGACCACCACAGACAGCTGTCGTGGTGATGCTAGCTCCAATGGCCGGACGAACTCCACGTCCTGACAGCTGCTGCTCCGCCATTGCTATATCTCGAAATGGGAGTTTCCGAAAATAGGGGACCCTAATATAGTACCCTAAATAGTAGGATCCTTATTATAAGGACCCCCAAAGCAGGTACCCCTTACTTTTGGAAACTCCCAAATGGACATGCTCTGAACGAGGCCAAAACCAAACCAGCGAAATTTCGCTTATGTCCATTCGTGCGCACATTATACTCTGGTCTCTCCTGTTGGCCGCAGCATGCGTCCACACATTGACAGGCATTCATGGATGGGTCGTGGGCGGAGGGCGGGAGGGTGGCTTCTTGTGCGCGTGCATGTGTTACATGATGGGATGCTTGTGGCGCTTGCACCAACCTAGGAAGCAAGGCTCATTGAGACGGCACGGCCCTCTATGCAGCCTGCAGCTGCACGGTTTGTCGCTTGAGGATCTTGGAGGCATGGAGAAGCGCCAGTGCGACGAAGGCCGAGCCGGGTAGAACCTTTCCGTTCGAGAATTTGAGAGTCCAAGCAACCCGCTTCCGCATGAACTGAGGCAAGGACTGCTGCACCACTCACCACATGCTGCTGGCAAAGCCTTAAAAGCTGCAACTGGCGGGGAGACTCGTGGTGTAGATGGACTAAACCTGGGACCATATTGCTGGGACCCTCTGCGTCCATAATTTCATGCATCCTGCGTTGTAGATCTAAGGCTCGAACCCTAGGAGTCAACACGCCAAACTTCGGAAGTGAATTTCGCACTCGGGAGTGAGTAAGCTGTAAGTAAGAAACCTCGTCAAAGCGAGCGGTCAAAGTCTAAGTTCGTGAATGGCCAAATGACTGAAACGCGTATATGCATCAAGCCGTCACACGAGCGAGACGAGGCACTCCCACTCTGGCAGGCAACCAAGATGTCGTGCGCCGGGAGGACCCAAAAATATTGCCTGCATTGCTCCCCAACAACCACCCACCGATTCGACTGCAAATGCGATGTCACACAGGTGTGGGACAATAGAAGCAGTTGCAATCGCTCAGCGCTCCCCGCACAAAGTCCAGCTTGGACAACAACAACAACAACCGTCTTTCGTGCGCTTAATGAGTTGGGTCAGAATACATTGATATTCTCAATGCTCTTCGGTGTTGGTCAGCATGGTGACTATTGTACATACATAGTTGCTTCCGTATATCAGTACACGACTCATATATACCGAGAACACTGTAAATACGGACACGGACGGCGTAGTGGCTTCATTGCCTACATATAATCCGTTCTGCTATGTGTCTCGTAGAATGGCTCGGGTTGGACATAGCTAGACTTTCGGCCCCGGCCCAGTACCAGTAATAAGTTCTGTTTTGGAATGCTCAAAATGATGGAACGTGTCGCAAATGTTTTGATGTGCTTATGCATTGTGGCTGCTTAACAACAACCGGCGGAGGGTTTTTTTCATAACGCTGGCGGTCCCTGGTCCCAAATACTGTGAACTGAAGCATTTGCTACTGTTTTGCATCAAGCTACGGGGAAATTGCAATTAACAGGGTGGCGTTTTGCCGCAGGCTATTGGGGGATTCCAATTTCAGGCTCCTGTCTTTTGTCAAGCTATTGGGGAATTGCAATTAGCATCAATTATGTAGCAGGGTTTCACTTTGCCCCAAACTATTGGGGGAGTGCAAGTTCGAGTCTCGTGTTTTGTGTCAAGGTATTGGGGAATTCCAACTTGTAGGGTAATGTTTTGCCCCAATCTACTCCGGGAGTGCAACTTCGAGGCTCCTGTCTTGCGTCAAGCTATTGGGGAATTGCCGTTTTGCAAAAAGCTATTGGGTACTTACAATTTGCATGCTTTTGCGTTGTGTCAAGTTATTGGGAGGTCCAACTTGCAGGGTATTGTTTTGCCCCATGGGGATTACAATTCTGAGAAGCTTTAGAGGCTTCAGGGTGGCTCGAGGGACAGGCTTCCACAGAGCGAGCACCGCGCAGATCGAATGTTACACAGACAAGCAAGTGTTTGCTTCAGCTCTGTCGAAAGCTTTACATGTTGTGCTGGCTTCTGCCGAGAATGGCATGTAACCTAGCGCATCTTCGACGTGCGGAGGGTCCTTGCCCAAGCTTGGACCTTCAACTGAACATGCAAGGCAACATGCAGCTGACGACCCTTCAGGATTCACACTCCTCCTTGCCTCTCATCCGCGATGAAGAGGCACACAGTCGACAGCACATAGGCGCATCTCGCACCTGTTCAGCCTTTTGCTAATTTCACCATCCAGAAAATTCTGAATTCACGACGACTTCCGCTGCTCAATCCACTGAGAAATGCGAGATCTGTCCTTGATCGTGTCGCAATGGAGCCTCACACGACCACTGAAGTTTTCCTCATCCCCAGCCCTCCCTCCCACCATCCCCTCCATCCCCTCCCTCCCCATCCCTCAGCCTACTGGACCAAATCCTGGGATTTGAAATAAATGAAATAATTAAAATAATTGAAATAATTAGAATCGGCCGATTTTAACTATTACAATTCGCGGAGCTACGAAATAATTGAAATAAAAAAACAGCGCAGCTTAAGTATTTTGATTATTTCAGTTCTCGGGGCTACGACATAATTACCGCAATCAAAATATCTCCCTCAATTGGATCCCACGATCCCAGATCCAAGGATTTTAAATAATTGAAAAAACTAAAATAATTGAAATAATTAAAATCGGCCGATTCTAATCATTGCAATTCGAAGGGCTACGAAATAATTGAAATAATTGAAATAATGATAATCAGCGGATTTTAGGTATTTTCAAAATTTCAACTATTTCAAGTCTTCTGGATTGGGTGCTATCATATAGTATAGGAAAATTTTTTAATTACTTTACTTATTTCAATTTTCGGGGCTACGAAATACTTAAACATAAATAAATATCTCCCTCAATCGGATCCTAAGATCCCAGATCCAAAGATTTTAAATAATTGAAATAATTACAATAATTGAAATATTTAAAATCGGCAGATTGTAATCATTTCAATTCGCGGGGCTACGAAATAATTGAAATACTTGAAACAACTAAAATCAGCGGATGTTAATTATTTTAATTGTTTCAAATTTTTCAATTCCCCTGATTTGGTGTTATGACATAGTATACGAACTTATTTTAATTGTTTTTACTTCTCGGGGCTACGAAATAAATACAATACTTAAAATAAATAAAATATCTCCCTCAATCGGATCCTAGGATCCCAGATCCAAGGATTAATTTTGATTGAAATACTTAAAATAATTGAAATAATTACAATAATTAACACCTGCCGATTTTAGTTATTTCAATTCGCGGGGCTACGAAATAATTGAAATAATTGAAATAATTTAAATTAGCGGATTTTCATTATTTCACTTATTTCAAAGATTTCGAATCCACTGGATTGGGTGCTATCATACAGTGTAGGAACTTATTCTACTTGTTTTAACTATTTCAATTTTCGGTGCTACGAAATAATTAAAAATGAATAAAATACCTCCCTCAATCGGATCCTAAGATCCCAGATCCAAGGATTTTAAATAATTGAAATAATTTAAAACATGAAATAATTAAAATCGGGCGATTTTAATTATCCTAATTCGCGGGGCAACGAAATAATTGAAATAAATGAAATGAACGGATTTTAATTGTTGTAATTTTTCAATTATATTAGTTATTTCAACTAAATCCCTTGGATTGGGTGCTATCACATGGTATAAGAACTTGTTTTAATTATTTTAAGTATTTCAATTCTCGGGGGTACGAAATAATTAAAATAATTAAAATAAATAGAATATCTCCGTCAATCGGATCCTAGGATCCCAGATCCAAGGATTTTAAATAATTGAAACACTCAAAACAATTGAAATATTTAAAATAATTAAAACCGGCCGATTTTAGTTATTTCAATTCGCGGGGGCTACGAAATCATTGCATTAAGTAAAATAATTGAAATCGGCCGATGTTGATTATTTCAATTCGCGGGGCTACGAAATACCCAATCATATCGTGTGTTTCTGTCCTCGGTTTTTCCTTCGTGGACTGTGTACCACATGGGATGACCCCTCAGTGTTCAAGAGCTTACAGATCGCCAGAAGAATGGCGACAGAGAATGCTTGATCAGCGAAGTTGCCCCAGGGCACAGTATTCTTGAAACGCAAGAAGCAGTTCACCAAGGGGCGAACTATCATTTCCTATTCGGGATCATTGTGCAGCAAGCTCTGATCGCCAAAACTTTTTACTCCGACAGCCCCGGCATGCAAAGCATGCCTCAACTGTGGAAATATCTCAACAAGCATTGGCCAAAGCCCAGTGAGGAAGGCGATGTCGAATGGAATGACAACCTCGTCGGTGTCTTTAATGCGGTGCCCCGCGCTGATATCTTGCGGTCAGCGCACACAATTTGTCAGAGGATATCGCCAACTCAGTGGCTGTTCTGTTCTTTCAGTCGATTTGTTGTCCAAGACCGGCCACCCAGGAACCCGGAAAAGGACGAAGTCCACCCTGAAACGATGCTGGATTGATGATATCCCAGCAATCTCTCAACAGGGGTGTTCACGGCAGCCGGCAAGTGCCGCGGTCAGATTGAAGGGACCTGCATAGGGAATCAAATATCCCCCATCTTGTCAGGTCTACCGGTACTGATGGCAGAAAGACAATTTCTTTCGTCTCTGCCCACCGCCCTGTCAGCGTCGTTTCTGTTTCTCAGATATGTGGGCAACCGACTGTTGCTCGGGCACCACATTGCAATCTGAACAAGTCAAAAGCTTTTGTGATCCCCACCTTTACGAAGGGATCGTGATTGAGACAATTTTCAGATCATCAGTGGCTTGGCTTCACCATTGATGCTGCTGCCCGGGCAGCAACATTTAACTTACCAGAGAAGCCCCGGCAGATTCGTTCGCCGGCAGGCCCGGGCTCCTGGAAATTGGCAGCGTCCGGCTATTTTTCTCGTGCTTCGTTGATTCGCCAGTACACCTGGCCCCCTGAAGCAATTCCAGGACAGCTTCGACAGCTCACGCAACTCTATGTACAGGCAGGGTTTCATGTGACTGCTCTGCAGTGAAGCTGAGAAGAGCGTGCCTGCTGCGCACGACGCAGACTGAATCGCTTGTTGCACAAACTCATCACAGAGCGTCGCTCGATCGCACATTGGTGATCCTGTACGTTTTGTTATTTCTCGTGGAGCTGACTAACTCTCCAGCTCTTACGTTTGCTGTAGTCATTGTAGTTTTTCGAACCTTGCCGGCGAGCCATGGCCCAGTAGTATCACTTTCACTTTTATGGGGGGCCTCCAGGATCCCTATGACGCAGCCCTTCCTTCCGGCGACGGTCATTTCGAACCCAGGTGGCAACAGATCTGGATCGATGCACCCTCCTCCCCGCGCACCGTTGCCAATTCAGAATCAGTCTCCGGTTAGACCAGTTCGGGCAGCTTCTGAGCAGGCTCGCCTTGTCGGTCGCGACGCCCCAGGAGCATGAACACAGGAGCCGATCTACGCGCCGACGCCGTCGACATCATTCACGTCGGCCTGACGCAGCACCTGAGCAGGCTGTACGGCCATCGTCTGGTTTTTCCCGAGCACATACTTTATCTCCGCCTGCTCGACTGCTGTATAGGTCTGCGAGCCAAGGGCAAGTACCCCCGAGGCCTCGTTCGAGCATTAGCCCTTCTGCTCGACAGAGCCCACGGCTCCTTCTGGTCGCCGGTGATTTCGCTAGACGAATAGCAAATGTTTCAAGCAACAAATCGCAGTAGCTATGAACAGCTGCGAGATCAGATCGCACAGCAAGCCAAAGGCCGTAATGCTGTGGGTTTCTATGAAGAAGGATTGACTCCCCTTCTTGCATATATGTCCTTTGTGTTGCATTATCATGAAAACTATTTAACAACTGAGAAGTCGCATCAGTGGCCCATTATCCCGCACAACAGAATGCGCCACTTCAATGATCGCATTGCCTGGACAAGACAAATGTCTGTGCCGGTTGGCAACATCCTGAAACAGGAGGTGGAAGCGGTCGTGCGATTTTTGCAGTCCCGTTTTGGCACAGCCGAACAGCCTTTTCTACCGGTAATTCCTATCGGCCAACGTGAAATTGTCGCGTTAGCCAGAGCTATTCTGGCCAGCAAGATACCCTATCGGGAAATCTTCCAGCATGATGCAAAAGCGTATGCGATGCCTCAAGAGGCGGCGCATGAGTGGCTCAAAGGCCCGGACCTGAAGAACATGCCAACTGCTATGACCTTTGGGGTCATGGAACCACGGCCGAAGGCCTTGTTGGCATCCTGACCCTGGGCAGAGTCCTCAGGTCCAGTGTTGAGGCAGTACAGGTAGCCCCTCACGATGATGTTTTGTCGTTTTATGGCAAGGCTACCCAGGATGTACATTATGAACCGTCCAAATTGGACTTTGTTTCAAAACAACACCACAGGACAAAAAACAGTGCAGGAGTCGTGGTTGGAGGGTTCTTTGGAACTGGCCATCACAAAAGCAAGTCCTGCAGCACGGTCCATGACGGCCATTTGTGCAAGTTCTACTCGCTGGTGCACTCACCTTCGGGTGACAAACGCTGGGCCATCCGTGAAGCAGCCGGTCTTATCGACCGGATCTGGGTTCTTTCCAGCACACACAGTGCTCAGCTAACAATGAATACTGCTGCTGATTCCTCAGCCCCAAGGGCTGCACATTTGACACAGGGGATGGCAACGATTGGGGAGTCAACTGACCATGCATCGAAGATGCTGTTCGTCAGCCAGTCAGCCATCCAGAGATCAAGCGAGAAGCTTGAAATTCTCAACTCGTGAGCATGCCATGCAAATGTCCAAGTTGCAACCGAACGACTGCTGTAAATAAACGTCATAGCAGGTCTGCAGCTTTACATACTTTCAAGCAATGGTGCATTCACTGCGCCGGATGCTTTCGTCAGCAGCTTTTCTGCTGCTCGTGTGCTTTTTTCTGCATCTATGATGCGACAGAGTCGTCACTCCGCAGTTCGGGCGAGAACGGAGAGTTTTCTCTGCCTCCTCGCCAACTTAAACAAGTCCCTCCTCCTGAACAGCGTCGCAAGTTTGGGGTCGATAGTCTCCCGCCCCAAGGGCTCGGATACGGCTGCACTGCAGCATCCTTCGACATTCCTGCCAACGGAATCGTCGATGACCTGAAGGAAGCTATTTCGGTACGGTTGAGCCATCGTCGGTTTTACCTTTCCAGGCGTGCATTCAAACTCACGCTGGATGGACACCATCAGCCTTACTATGTCAAAGTCAACACCATCAGCAACACCAAACCGTTGACTCTTGAGTGGGCACAAGCTCCCCCGGACGAAAACCGTCCCCGCCTTGAGTAGCGGCCATAGGTTGTTTTGCCATAATTGGCTTCTTGTGTGTGTGGACCTCTGCTGCCGAGAGGAAGTGTCAGTTGCTGTTTTGCAGGGGGCCTGAGGCTCACAGACTGGACTCAGGCCAACGAAGACGTCTGTCTGTTGAGTGTGATATGATCCCGGGACACTGGCATCAAGTACCTGCAGTTTTCAATTGTGTGGCAACCAGGCTAAGCCGAGAACCTGGGAAAACTAAGTGAATTTGTGCGTGAGAAGGATGCAGTGTGCTGTGTTTGCATGTGTGCAGAGTCCAGTTGCCGTGTACGTACAGCAGAACACCAACCAGAACACAACTGACTAGCCTTGATGCCAGACAGGTACCGGAACCCCTGAAAGCTTTATGCTTTCGTGATACATCAAGCTATGCTTGAAAACCAATTGAAGAGCGGCTGCGCGATGGATGCCTAAGTGTGTGTGTGTGTGCATGTGTGT